GGTTTTGAAAAGAAAGGAATAAGAATAATAAAGAAAACGGGTAAAGGACCCTAACAATGAACACCAATGGTTTTGTCGCTGTTTTATATATAATAAAACTATTCAACTCAGAACATTATTTGAAATATTTTATTAGTTTCAATCAAATTTTCTGAACTGGTGGAATTCAACATATCCACACGATAATCAACAAGAGTTTTACAGTAACATAACCAACATTTATGATAACAAGTTTATTGACCGTCCATTTTCATTTGCTATTCGTTTAAATAATATTCATGATCTTCGTTTAAAACTTCCAGTTACTGATGAACGTTGGTCTATAATTTCAAACTTAAATAAACTGAAATTCCTTAGCATATCATTCTATACTGATATTTATCAATCTCAATTGCAAACATTACTCGATCGTGCACCAAATCTTTGTCATCTACATATTACACGAGATGTAATATCACCTTTGAGAATGTCATTATTTGAACATACGAATCCATCAATTCGTCGACTGACTATACTATATCATTGGTTTGATGAGGAAGAATGTATTACATTGACTCATTCACCACTGGGCACTCCATGTGAAGAACTTTCTATTCAAGTAAAAAACCGTCAAATTATTATTATTCTTCTTGAAAAACATGACTAATCTTCGATTCTTAAATATTGAATGTAAAGATGATAAGTATGCTAAACAATTATTATGAATAGATGATGACAATGAATTACGTCAAGTCTTTGCATCAACCACGGATGAATCAGTTGAATGGTTGAAAGAACGTTTACCATCAATGTATCTAATTTCTAGAGATCCATACTTTGTCAATCGTATTCGAATATGGATCTAATAGCAGCATCTCTTCATTATTTGGAAATAAACATTTTCAAACTAATTTGTTTAAATAGAGTCATATTCTTCATGTTAAAAATATTCACGTTTATAAAAATAAAGTTATATTCAATTGAAGATTGACAGGATCTTTTGTTGCAAATAGGGTATACACAATGTCGATGAACTATTCTTAATAAACATTGTTACCGAGATTTCGACTAGGGTAGATACGGTTATGAGGGTTTCAGATTAGCTCACAAATATATGGCCATACAAAAAGATAAACTAGCTCAAATACATTTAACACAAACAATAGAATTCTATTATGGATATGATGACGAGAGTGTGAATTGCAAAAAGAATTAGCTGATCTTTTGGTTAAATTACATCAGTATGAGAAAACTTATAAAGACTAATGGTCAATTAAATTTCAATGACATTATTAAGCACATAAAATATTGTCGAGACTGAAAAAAATTGAAAATTAAAGAACGAATGTTGCAGAAGAAAATCAATAAAATTAGGCAGTTGGTGGCGGATTCGAGCGTAGACGAAAAACACTTATCAACGTTTCGTTTAATTACAAAATCAATATAGATTTTAAAAATCATTACTTTCAATAATCATTCGAATGGATGCGTTTGCACGTGAACGATAATCACCATCTGGATTATTCGGTGGGATCACAGAATATGTTTGCGCTGTCTATTATGAAATAAACGAGCTCAATCTCGCTCTACAGTATGCAAAAGAAAACTTGGAAAGCGAGCTTGATCGCTTATCTATAATATATTGAATGATTCAAATTTATTATATGGCACCAATAATTTATCTTTTATTGAAAAAAAAAATGAATAGGAAAATAATTGAGTTCAATAGAAAGTGTCGATTCATCAGAACACTTGTCCTTCTTTTCTGGTCCACTATTTATTCAAGAATTTATCACTCTTTATTGGTACAATTTCAGGAAATTTTTGATTTAATGCAGCCTCATAATCAAATTCGCCTTGGCACATAGCTACAAGGACTTCTTAGTAAAAATTGGTGAACTGATTCGCCGGATTTGAATCGCACGCACTTAATGCTTCATTAAGATGAAGCAACCATGACCGGCTTCCTCTTGCTTAAAAAACTCATTAAATGACATTAATCTTATTCATCGTTAAAGAGATGACAATGAAACTGCAAATCCACCCTTGAATTAGAGAAGATACAATGTTAAATTGTCATCTCTTTGATGATGAATAAGACAAATGCCATCTGATGAGTCCCTTAAGCGAGGACGAAACTGGTCATGGCAACTTAATCTTCATGTTCTTTCCAAAATCATCAGATTTTACTTTCTACTGTTTGTCTAAATGTTTTATTTTTTTTTTTTGGTCGAAATTTATTTCATTTCGTAAAAAGCACAATCAAAATTATGTTACTTCGGGTAACGTTCTCAACTTTTTACATTGATATTTTGATCGAAATCTGATCGAAGGTTGAATCGTCTTTCAAAAAGAGAAATATTAGTTTTTCTTCTATGAAATCCGAGAAAAAAAAATTCAAGATTTGCAGACTAGCAATCAAGTGTCGAGTACGCCGCCTTTTTATGAGAGAAACATTGAATATTTAGCTGTAAAAAACTTATAGATATAAACGACTATAACATCAGATATCCTCTTGCAAATGATTGAAACCATCTTAACCAACAGTAAATGACCTAACAAACTGGTCAGTTTCTACCAGTCTGAAAAGTTTTTTTGAGCTGTCTATTTTTCATTAAAAGTTAAGTTCGAGTTATTGATTTACAGTAGTCTAATTGTTGAAAATAATTAATTTAAAGGATAAGATCAATTTTAAGAAGTCAAAATGAAGATCATTGAACACAAAAAATGAGTTCGATGTGAAAAGAACACTGAAAAATGAACTGAACATTTGGAAATCGATTTTGCAACATCTAAAATGAATACTGAATAAAAGAATAAGAAAACTTCTTGTTGATATCTTTTCACAAAAGAGATAACAAATTAGGCTTGATTAATCTCTTTATATGAAGTATTAATACTAATTGTAAAAGCCAATTAATACTATAATTTCTTTTCGTTATTTGTGCTCTTTTAGCAAATCACTCAATATCACTGAGAAATTATTTCTTTATTGTCAAATTTTTTTGATACATTTCAAGTATAGATTGCATAACATCTGGCACTTACCGAAGGAAAAACGAGTCGCTCGCATCCTGGTGTTGGAGATAATGTATCGTAGCTGAGAGATGAATAATGCATAACCACACTCACACCGACTCAAAGCTAAAAGATCTTTTGAGTTTTGATCTATTCTGTCAAATTCACCATGCTAGAGAAAATGAGAGCATCCTTTGTTCAGCTAAGAAACAGTTGAATTGCTTCCTTTATTTCACTTTTATTTGTTTTTGAATTGTTGATTTCTTCAAAATGAGGAATAAATGCATTTTTGTTCGAATGTGGCGCTGTCATTTTTTTTGTTGCTCTATTGGACACAAATACATAATGATATGTTTCATTTAAATATAGGCAATCATTGTTTCTTTATTTGTTGAAAACAAAAGCTGAAGAGATGGATGAGTTGAATGTATCCCGATTGGAAGATCTATCTGTGGAAATTTTCTTCGAAATATTTGAATATCTGACACCTGATAAACTCTATTCGTCTATGGCTCATTTAAACATTCGTATTAATTCGATTCTGAAAAAACAACCCAATTTAATTATTTCAACAAAAAGCCATTTGAAACCTGCTTTATCCTTTTTTGACTCGTTCATTTCACTGTACATTGACCTGTCTTATACAGTTGGATCTTGTCTTTCTCAATTCCAATTCTTAAATTTAGCTAATATCCGTTCATTGCACATTCGTATAGTATATTATGCGTGGTGGACTATTGTATCAACTGATGAACTGAACTCATTCATTGATCCAAATCGATGTCCTCTACTCGAATCTTTACATTTATCATGTTGTACGACGAAACTCGCTGAATTTATCTTTACAGGTGCATTTCGCTACTTAAAAGTATGTGTCATCAATGCTTATGAGGAAAAAGTTCTTCCATCAACAACGATTGGTTCACTAAAAACTCTTCGTCAATTTGTTACGAACGGATAGAATGGAAATGAGTTTCCAGCGATTCTTTCTATGTGCCCCAATTTAAATTTGCTTCACTTTAAACTTACGAGGGAACGTTCCCAAGTGATTAAAAGCTTTTGAGCTCATATGTTACTCATTAGATAGAGGACCACTAGATTAGAGAAACCTCCAAAGGATTCGTGCCCATATTGAGATTTGACAGAGATAACGAATTTTTAGTGGATTTTTCCTGCTGGACCCTAGTTCTACAGCAAAATCATATTTTCGAATTTCCACCTGAAACTTTACCCAAATGAAGGCCTCGATCAGAGTAGCTTGTATAAAAAATTTCAGAATTTTTGGACATTGCATCTCCAAGGTATCAATCTTTCAAAGTATCCATGTTATATATGAGTGAATTGCAACGTTATTATACCTTTGCTTTTTTAGTGTATTTTCATTATAACTCTGGCTGTTGTAAACCAAATTTCAAATTTTTTTATTTTATTTTACTCCTTTCACTTCGTCTTACTACCACAGAAAATTTCAGGTCAGTGGCTGATTGCTTCCTTGAGCTAAACGTATCTTAAGGCAAAAAAACACATTTTTTCAATTAGTTGTTCCAGGGAAAATAGAATTTTTGGGAAAGGAAAGGAAAGAAAGAAAAATGTAAATAAGCCATTTTGTAGAGCACGTGAGAAATTATCGAAGCATATATTTCATTTCTACATTTTCTCTCTTTTTCCTACTCATTTGTCTTCAAAACTATATTACAGTCATTTTCTTGATTTTTTGTAGAGTAACACAAAACGGTAAGTAGCGATCGGTGTACGATAAAAAAAAGACTCAGTCCATATCTAAAAAGAAAGACCTTGATTTTTGCTACAAAACGAACAAAAAAAATTGGTAACTTTTTCTTCTCGTTTTTGAGAAACAGGAAACTACTTTTTGAAAAATTCCGTTTACAATCATCGTGTAGAGTAACATTTTCAAATTTCTTTCGGTCATAACTCGACAAATACTAACGCGACTTCGCTGAAACTTTTTCTCAATGAATGATATTTGTTTTGGTATTACAGATAAAATTTTCAGCGTTATATGATCCCTCCTTCTAGCAAAACTTTACATGATACTAGAAAATGTAGAGTAACATTTTTTTAAGAAAAATGTAGAGTAACATTTTTTCGATATTTTTTCGAGCTTTGATCACTCAAATATACATTTATTATACACCGCTAGACTCGACTTGAAGTGGCGAGTAAAACTAGGCACATTAAAGTCCTTCCAAAAGTAGCTAAAAACCATAAGAAAAGTCCCAATGAAAAAAACTGTCTTTCTGCTCTGAAGTGATAAAAAGAAATTTCTTACTTAAATGCGTCTTGTTTAGAATTGAATGTCTTTCTAAAGTGCTACTAACTGTTATTATCTTCTGAATTATTATATAGGTGTACTTTTCGTGAAAGTGTGTTAATCGATATTAAACGAGAACAGAAGTAGAAAAAAATATTCATTGATTTTTCAACGTGTAAATGAGACTGGAATGCGAAGTAGAGAGCTTTAAATGATACTGGTGAATCCGATAGACAAAAAATGAGTGATAAATACACTAAGATACGTTTTCACTTGTTTGTTTCGTCGAAAACCGTTTTTCATACGGTTTTGGTGGCGGAAATAGGGTTTCTAGAGATTCAAGTGAAGTTAAAATGGATCAAACATCACCTACCTAG